GGATGTTATAAGAAACACCGAAGCCGAAGATGCTGCACCAGCAAAACGCGATGGATATATCTTGCTCTATATATACCTACCGATGGCATTTGGCGACCAGTTCGTCCCTTACTTACCAAAAGTTAACACTTTTTACTTTTTTTGTGTCTTTGATTTGTTTGGACGGATGGATGGTGCACAGACATGTAAAGTTAGGGACCATTCAGTATTTCGTCTTTGTTAGAAGAAAATAACCTAAGACAAACAGCAGCAACTCATTAGAGATTTTTCTAATGGGATTCTCTTTTTTAAGGACTATTTGTGAAACAGCCTGAAGCTCTTATTAAATACCTGGTGTACTGGTTCAATTACTGCCGACTTGCAATTAAAATATTCCGAAAATTCGTAAATGCATGTTTTTTTTTCATGGAAAAATACGAGAAAGTGGCGGAGCTTTCGTACTAAAAATGATATGAAGCATAATTCGTGCCCCACATTTGCTGTAAAAAGCAAAAGAACATTTATTGTACACTACAAATGTCTGGAAAAAATTGTTTTGGTGCCTCTTAGAAATATTGACTGATTATTCGATGTTTTTCAAGAATTCTGGTAGTTCCAGTGGTTTAGAGTTTTGTGACTAAATTGATCTCTTCGGAATTTTGTTTTTTTTTTTGTTTTTTTTTTTTTTGCAATGGCTAATAAGTGGCTATGCAAGCTGAAATATGCATGTTGCTATGAGCACATTTTAACCCATCTGTCGGAAAAAGCCTCTTTTCTGGGTGGTTCAGGTCGAAAGAGTTATGCTGATCTAGCAGGAGTACAGGGCGGACTACCGCTGTTTAAGTAGCATAGGACGGACTACCAGTAGTGCAGTACAAGCTATAGGGCTACTTTGGCGTGGCGAGCGGGGCCCTGGGGTGACGATTGGCTTCTTTCCTCCTATTTCGTAAAAACAATTGGAAAACGGGCAATAGGGGAAAGCTCCTTCTGTCGCTATTACAACCTCCGCAAACACCAGACATTAAACATGA